CTAAAGGCCCAAACCTCCAAACTTTATAATTAGAGCCACCAGAAACCCTAAGCCCCAAACCCTTAAGGCTGAAATCAACATCCCTTCCATCTGAGGCCACGAAGTGCGCCATTGGGTCTCTTGCAAGGACTGCAGCCTTGGAGGAGGGATTTCAGGGGATTCTGGCTTGGGGTCTAGGTGATCTAGAAAATTTATATACATATATTTATATGCATTGCTCGTCCAGCCAGGGTGGGTTCTAGGTAGTGGCGGCTCTGCATGGTTGCGATATACTAGGCATGGGGCTACTAATTCTATTCATATCAGGGGCTAAGGGATGTGAAGGGGTTTCCAAGGGCCGAGGGGTTTTGAAAGGGCTCTGTGGATAGCAGATATGTGTGTATGTGCATATATATATATATAGCTTGCAGGGCTTATCCAGCTAATAGGGTTCTAGGTAGGGACAGCTCTGCATGGTTGCAATATATGTATATATATATATATATATGGACAGTTCGCTCTTATTCAAAGACTCCAACCTTGGAGGAGGGATCTCAGGAGTTTTCAATGGGCTTCGACTTTGACTATATCGGTACATGTCTATATATATATATATATATATACGGAGTCTGTAGATTGCCTGGTTCTAGGTAGTGGTGGCTCTTCATGGTTCCTAGATATCCTCTAGGTCTTATGCACTGTTTTGGGTGAGTCCAGCCAGAGGGGAAGGATTTGAGGGGATTATTATAATATATATATATATATATATTATATATTATTATATATATATATATATTGATAGGTTGCATTGCTCGTCCAGCTTGGGTTCTAAGTAGAGGCGGCTCTGCATGGTTGCAATATATTCGAAAGTGATCTATAGATACTACATATATATATATATACACATGGGTTTGCATTAATATTGCTCGGCCAGCCTGGGTTCTAGGTAGCGGTGGCTTTGCATGGTTGTGATATGGACTATAGCTCCTAGTATGTTGGCCTGCTAAAACATAAATGCGGTATATACTCTGGCCTTGGGTTTTCAAGGGGCTTGGGAGATAGCAGATCTGCTTGCAAGACCCCGTAGTTCGGTTGCGATATGGACTTTATAGTCAAATAACTAAGCAGCTCTAGGTTGCAGGTCGGTATATAGGTCGGTAGCTATATCTAGTATAGTCTCTACTAGACATATATACAGGTACTCGTATATATATATATATAGCTCTATAGATATATATATATATAGTCAGTACGATAGATCGGATTGGGGTGTTGCATTCGAGTCCTGCACCGATTCTATAATTGGAGGAGTCGGAAGATATAGATATATACGGGCTTAGGGTTCTAGGGTGAGGAAACGGTTTCCATAATAGTCTTGAACCCCATTTATCTATACCCCTGGATGCTAAAGCCAGTAACAGGATCTACTTGGTGGGAAGACGCTACAAAAATACTGGTATCAATGAGTAGTGGAACTGCATTCTTGTCCATATACGGGGCTCTGGGCCCAAAAAACCTTGGCAGTAGCGCGCAAAGCTAGTTTAGGCTTGCGGGAGGGCCGGCCCGGAACCGTAGAACAGGGGCCGGGAACCGTAGAAAAGGGGCCGGGAACCGTAGAATAGGGGCCGGAACCGTAGAATAGGGGCCGGAACCGTAGATTAGAAAATGAGCTAGATTTGGGTTGGAATTCGAGCGATTTGTGCACAAAGGAGCTATGTCCAACCGTGGAAATGGCTCTGGGTGCACAGACTCTGCTTTGGATAGCGGAGCTGCATCGAGGTTTCTGGCTAAGGCTAAGCAGCGGCAAGCACTAATGCAAGCCACCAAGCGGCCAGCACCCCCCAAAGCAGCAGCAAGTGCAGCCAAGAGCAAGAGCCCGCCAACCCCAACCTCGGCAAACCCTAGCTCGGCCAGTCAGAGCGGTCAGAGCAGTGTTTCTGTGTCGGTCCGGTCGCAGCTTTACTGCATATAACCGCATGATGTACGAACTAGTTGTGCTGCGCATACTACATGCAGTTGTGTGGTGTGTACGTCGTGTAGGTAGCAGTGTCATGGCACATGTTAAGGACACCTGTGAAGTCGCCCGATCAGAAGAAGCCCCGGGTTGCCGAAGCGGGAAAGAAGGCCGAGCCGGTGAAAGCCAGGACCCTGCCAATATATTTTAACCACCCGAACCCCTAGCCCCTAAAACCCCTAAACCCCTAAGGCCCAATATCCCCCAAGCGCCGGGGCATCGACTGATAGTGCCTGCTGATCACGCGATGCTGCCTCGGGGTCGTAGGGTTTAGGGCTTCGTCTTGGGATCTTTTTCTACTACATATATAGTAATATAAATCTTAGAGGCTCCAGGATCTTGGGAGGTTCGTTTCATGCTTAAAGTCCGAGATCGAGTGAGCTTGCAAGTCTTGGCGGGTCGCAGGGCTTAGTACATGGAGGATGAAGTTGCGGGTCTTGGGATTTCTTTGGTGGGATCTGTCGAGGCTGTGTGTCTCCGGCAATTCGGTGAACCGGTTATCTACTGCATATTATAAATATTATGACTCTATAGCTATCTCTGTAGATAGTATATCGGGATCTACGAACCTAGCTACCTACCTACCCAGCTATACCTACCTACCGACTGCTACCTACCCACCCACCCACCTACCTACCTACCTACATACATACCTACTTAGCTATATTACCTACTTCTTACTTACCTACCTACCCTGCCTCCGAAATGCCCAAACTGCCCGCAAAACACAAACCCCCCAGCCTCCAGCCGCTTGCCTGCCTGCCTACATGCTATAGCTCTATATATCCTCAGGACTTCCCCGAACGAGCCCTCAAATGTGCCGGCTCCGAAGAAAATGGCGACGCCGGAACGCGTGAGAAGGAGTCTATTGGCCGCACCTATGTATATATATATATATATATATATGTACACACACAAACATACAGTGATATATATATATATATATTCATCTGATCACATCATATATATAATGTCTGCATATATATCGTGTGTATGTATATATGTATGTAGGTGTGTATATGTATGTATGTATGTATGTATGTATGTATGTATGTATGTATGTATGTATGTCTGTATGTATGTATGTATGTATGTATGTATGTATGTATGTATGTATGTATTATCCATGACATATACATATACATATATATATATATATCTATATCTATTTATATATATGTACACATATCTGTCTGCTAGAATATATATAGATAGGTTAAAGTGCATTCGTAGCATTTTAGGAACCGACGACGACACATAAGGCTGGAGCTACGCTGACACCGGTTCGCAGCCGCCCCCCAGCGCCACCCCGACAAAGTCGCAGACGTTGAAGGGCACGCCGGCGAAGTCGCCGGAGCCCATGTCAGTGGAGAAGCTGCGCGAGACTTCGGCTTGGCAGCACTCCAACTGGGCCCGGGAACCTTGGTCTTGGTCTGGTGGCTGGGCTGATTCGTCTTGGGCCTGGGGAAACACTTGGTGGGCCCAGGGCTATGTCGGGAGTGGCTCATGGTATGGTCATGACGCATGGGGCCGTGGTTGGAGCGATGATTCCCTCATGGCGGGGTCGGAAGCAAGCCCGGGTGAGACTTCTGATCCTGCTGGGGATGTGAAGTCGCTTTTGAAGCGGCCTGTGACGACAGAAAGCCATCTGGGCCACGTGGAAGAGGAGGCTGATGCCTGGGCCAAGAAGCAGCATGACCTGGAGGAGCTGCTGGAGAAGGCCACACCGGAGCTTCGGAACTTGGACACCCAGTCCACTCTGCCGCTTCCGGGTCGAAGCAGCAGTGAGCTGCTTCTGGATGAGGACCGAGTCTAGCGGTCAGCAGGATAATCGGTAGGCCTTCGCGATGGAGTCGCCAAGGCTTCGGGGTTGCTTTCATGCATAATGCTGAGTCGCCCTACAGGACACTCAGCAGCAGACATCCTTGGATCCGATGCCGGAGGACGGGCGGCTACGACAATAAATTAGCGTCATATATATATATATATACATGTGTACACATATTTATTTAATGCTTTATACTGTACTCTATATAGATACATGTATATATATATATGTCTGTATGTGTATATATATATAATATACATATATATATATATGTCTGTGTGTGTAGAAATATATACGATATAAATATAACTAGATATATATATATATATATATATAATGGCAACACATTTACAATATATACATTAAGCTTAATATATAGCTGGATGTAGATACATATATATATATATACATATAGTGAAGCAAATTAAATATAATAAGCCAGTAGCTGCCTCAACTGTAGGTCTAGTCCGAAACCTTACACCCCGAAGCTCAAGCCCTTTCTGTACGAAGGTCGTCCTTAATCTTAACGGTGCCCAGTACTGTCCATCTTGAGGCACTGAGAATAGAGTTCTATATTTTTGAAGATCCATATAGCTATATATATATATATATGTTTATATACCACTGCATGCATATCCTCAACCCAAAAGCCAAACACTTAAAGCCGACTCTTGCAAACAAGGAGATCTAGAGCTGACCTTCTAATATAAGGTCGCACACTTTTTAAGCTACAGGGCCCTACCCCAGCTCGAAGCTGGTATATGATTAAAATGCAAGCCCTCTTTATGCAGCAAGCAGGTTGAACAGGCGCAGGCCACGATTCCGGAGACGCAGTGTGATGAGGCAGCGCTTCCGCCGAGTACACAGCTGTCGGAGGTCCCGAGTGCAACAGCAGCGATTCCGCCGAGTACACAGCCGTCGGAGGTCCCCAGTGCAACAGCAGCGATTCCGCCGAGTACACAGCCGGATGATCAGGTCCCGAGTGCAGCAGCGATTCCGCCGAGTACACAGCCAGATCAGGTCCCGAGTGCAGCAGCGATTCCGCCGAGTACACAGCCGGATCAGGTCCCGAGTGCAACAGCGATTCCGCCGAGTACACAGCCGGATCAGGTCCCGAGTGCAGCAGCGATTCCGCCGAGTACACAGCCGGATCAGGTCCCGAGTGCAACAGCTTTTCCGCCGAGTACACAGCCGGATCAGGTCCCGAGTGCAACAGCAACGATTCCGCCGAGTACACAGCCAAAGGTCCCGAGTGCAACACCAGCGATTCCGCCGAGTACACAGCCAAAGGTCCCGAGTGCAACACCAGCGATTCCGCCGAGTACACAGCCGTTGGAGGTCCCAGGTCCTGAGCTCACCACGGACAGGATTGCAAGAGACCTGGACTTGCAACTCCAGCAGGTGGATGCTACACCCCAGAAGCCTCAGCAATCCAGCAGTGTTGCATCTCCCGGTGCCACGCAGGGTGCCACTCCAAGTCCGGGGTCCGACAGGATGTGGAGATGCGACAAGTATGGCCAGCCGTTGGGTGCTGGAGCTTTGTATTCCAGATTCTACAGATCGATCAGGAGCAGGTTCCCCAGACAGGTGAGGCAGCCCACTTCGCTACTCTATTATAATCCCCCAACACATAATTATGTAGCAGCTTTCTCCTCAGGTTCCAATGCGCCGGATGCTGTCAAAGACGAGTTCCAGAAAGCAAACAAGAGCCCTTGAGATTTATTTTTAGAGCAGCGCATATATATATATATATACATATATATATATATACATGCATATGATCATGATATGTATATATGTATATATCTAGATATGTATACTAGTATATTATATATATATATATATATATATAAATATGCATATGTGTGTATATATATATATAGATTATATATATATATATATATTAGAGTGACGTACAAATAGAAATATATGGCCTAAACCCTAAAGCCTAAACCCTGAACCCTAAACCCTAAACCCTAAAGTTCCTGGCCCTCCTCCACCCTGAACCCTAGACTTCGAAGCCCTCAATCCTATAGCAACTAGCCGTAGGCCCAAACCTCTTAGACCCGAAACCCTAGACCTGTAAACGCCTAAACCCTGAATTGGAATTGCACTAGAGGCTTGAACCGGACCCAGAAGTTCCACGACATGTGGATCCAGTTTATCTCTTGCAAGGGACGCTGGCATGACAGCACACTTGTGCTGAGTGTCAGGCAGCGGGGATGACCTGGGCAAATCGGCTATAGGCATAGGTATCGATACATTCTATACATTCTACATGCATTGCTATAAGGGTGTATGTGTCTGCAGGGTGCATGGCATATATCTAGCTAGTAGATCTAGAGTCTAGAGATTTGGTTGGGCCATGACAGGAAGAGCAAAGAGAAGACAAAGGACGTCGTTTACATGTACAAGACGTACAAGACCTTAGTGTCTGAACTTGGACAAGAGCTGGCTGACGACCTGGTTAAGCGAGCCCGCGAAGCAGACCCTACATACAGCGGCAAGTCTTGCCGTCTTCACCCTCAATTTCCAAAGCGCGAGGATTGTGTTCTTAAACCCTAGACCCTAAACCCCAAAGCCTAAATCCTAAACCCTAAATCCTAAACCCTAAACACAAATCTAGGGTTTGGGGTTTAAGGTTTTAGGGGCGTCTGTATGGCATGTAGATAATGGGGCTGAAGGGCCTATCGAATAATTAATAATATCATCTATATAATAGAGTTTCGGGTTTAAGGTTTTAGCAGTGTCTGTATTGTATTTAGATACTGGGGTTTCTCACCGCAGGGCTACAAGGTTATAGCTTGCAAGGTATAATTATAATGAGTTGGGTTTGGGGTTTGTCTTCAGCTCTCGCAATTACCGGATTGTGAGTGTTGCGAGGAAATGCAGCTCTACAAATCCTTCGCCTACATCAAGGACAAGACGCGTGACAAGAAGTCGCAGAGTGCCGAGATTGAGCAGCGGGGAGACAATATTGACGAGGATGATCTCGCCAATGCAATGCAACTATGCTACATATATATGTAACTACTATAGCACGATCGTCTGCGATTCATATCATCATTCGAATATTAATATGATGCATGCAGCTAAGGGAGGATGCTTTGCCGAGCGGCGATGATGAACCGATGGCAGGCATTGAGACGAAGCCCAAGAAGGACCCCAAGCCCAAAAAGGACAGAACGTGGCGACAGCTCGGAGATGCTGTGCCCAGCCCCAAAGAGCAAGATCTTTATGCCTTTCTCGTTTATGTAACGCCCACAACCTCAGACTCGGACCCTGAACCTTATACTGAAACCCCCCGCTGGCTCAGGCCGAAACCTGACTCGAAGCCCTGTTCTGCTGCTTTTGCCTGAGGCGGACAAGAAGGCGAACAAAGACTTGATCGATTACCAGGGCTTCGAGAAGGTGATGACTTCGGCCAAGATGTGCCTTACTACGCAATTATGCACCTAGGAAAACAACCCCATGCAAACACCTCGACGAAAACCCTAGAAACCCCAAACCCGTACGGCCGAAACCATAGACTTCAGGAGCTCAAGGGCAGAGTGTTCATTTTAGGCCTCGTGGTGCAGACCGATTCTGAGTCCTTGCGACTGGGTAAGTTCGGGCCTTGCAGTCCTCCTATACCTACGCACTATATAGGTGACAATTCTGTAACCCACTCTGCTATTGTACAGATTAGGGGAGGATCGTGTTTATCCTCGATTGAATGTTACCATATATATCTCCCGATCCGGTGCTGCAGGCCTCGCAAGGAGTTTAAACTATAGCTATATAATTATATATATATATATATATAGATCTATATATATATATATAATTATAAATAAATATAACAATAAAAATATATATGTATATATATATATATATATATATTTATTTATATTTATAAACGTGTTAACCCTAAACCCTAAACCCTAGTATATATATATATATGCTAGCTAGGTCTTGCGGCCTCCTGGCCTTACAAGCTGAATGCTTGCATCACAGCCTAGACAGCCTCTTCACGCACTTAGCCCATCTGGTGTGTCAATCGTTTTGCAGTTGGATCATCGAACTCCTAGGTGTAGGTCTATATATATATATATATCTCTCTCTCTCTCTCTCTTTTTAAAAGTGGAGTCCTATATCTATATATATATATATATTTATTTATACCCCAAAATATATATATATATATGTATGTATATGTATATATATATATATATTGAAGTCTCCCATATCCCACAGTTAATAGACCATGAATGTCGTATTAGATGCTATAGGGCCGCTTCAGCCTTAAGAACACCGTACGTTTTATTTTTAAATGGCTAAATCCCCTAAGCCTCAAATACCTACATGATCCCATCCCAAAATCCACGGGCTCAGGGCCGCCAACATGAAGAAGGCCATCCTGGATGACATCCGGCCTGCCCACGCAGATCTGCAGAAGTGCAAGAATCTTGTGGCCCAGGGACTTGGAAAAAAACTATCGGAGCAGGAGATGAAGCCTCTTGTGGAGGTGCTTCGGGGTTGTCCGGATTCTCATTATTAAGTTTGATTCGAGACTTGAAACCCAGCCTTCGAAAATCTGTAGTATGGCTTCCTGCAAGGCCCTTCAAGCAGCCTTGGAAGATTTCAAGATTGTTTCCGAGCCGGTCAGAACAGCGGAGCGCAAGAGCAACAAGGATGCGAACCCCAAGCCGAGTGCAAAGTCGAAGGGTGCTGCCAAGAAGAAGTAAAGGTTCCCAGCGCGGGAGCCCGGGAGAACATCCAGATGTTCGATTTTTGACTTTCGATCACGATCTTTAGCTGCCGGTGCTTCTGTACATATCCTTCCTGCCTATGCCATGGGTACTGCAACCCCTCAATGTATATATAATGTAGACATTAGTGTTTAGTGTTTAGGGTTTAGGGTTTAGGGTAGAGCTAAAATATATAGGGTCGTAGAGCTAGCAGCTAGCAGTCACTCGAGCTTAGAAGCAGGAGGGCGTACGATGGGTGTCATCAGCTGCTCTGATCATCACTTAGCTATGCTGTTGGCCGTACATGTTCATAGTCGAACAACGTGCCTCCGGGGAGAACCGGCGCCGAAAAGATCTTGGCCTCTGGAGCATAGGGGGCTATCTGCGAGCGGCTATTAAATAGATCCTGCAGTTGACTGCTGTCCCTTGCGCAGGGACAAAGCGCAAGCGAGCCGATGATGAGCAAGCTGGCGAGACGCATGCTCTGGCAGTTCATATGTAGTTTGGCCTGAAGATATACATGACAATGATATATATATATGTATATGTTAACATTTAAACACTATCTATATATATATATATGGGGATTTCCGAAAATAGGGGACCCTAATATAGTACCCTAATTAGTAGGATCCCTATTATAAGGACCCCAAAATAGCATACCCTAATTTTCTGAAACTCCCATATATATCATGTCATGCCCAGGTTCAAATCCCTGGGCGAAGGGAAAGAATCCTCCAAGGGGGTTATCTCCAATGCGGCCGCTGCTGTGAAGGACCCGAAGCTTAAGCCTAAAGCCTATAGGTACCTGGACCCTGGAATCCTTCGAAACATTTGCAATTCCAAAGCGATAACCATTAATATTCTAAGTACCCCTATAACTATAGCTAATTAACGCCTAACCCTAACCCCGATAACTCTGAAGCCTCGAGGAGGGTGGTGCTGGGTCTATGGGGCCCATCACGACAAGGCTGGCAGCTATGGACACAGTGAACCCGCATCATGATCGCGATCTCTTTAGATTCGTGAAGTTGCCTGTAGCAACTCGTATAAATGTTGGAATAACCAATTACTTCCTGTGGCCGGGGACGCGACCATATGATGTGCATAGAGCTTGATCGTGCCCTGCAACCAGTTGCATGCAATGCCACAAGGAATTTGCCTGGATCTCGGTACCGATGCTGGACCCAGAGGATGACAACAAGAGGGTGCAAAAGAAGCTGCCCTTCCTCGATCCCCATGAGTACATTGAGTTTCTGTGGCGATCCCAGCATATCACCATCAGCGACGAACAGATACAGCCCCTCAGCATGCACACAGCTAGCGTACTACGATACAGCAGATCCAGATCTAGCAGCTTGCAGAATCTTAAGTGCACTGCAGGGAGTACTGGCTGCACTTTCGGCGGCTTTCAATTCCATGGGCGATGCAACATCCTGCCTCCAATGATGCTGTGCCAATCGCTGCTTCCAGCCTTAAATCGGAAGCTTCCAACAACGTCAAGCAAATTATATTGTTTGGATATGTACGATATATTAGGATGTAGCTCTATACCACCCAGGTCTACGGCGACGAAGCCGAGTTCTCCAAGGACGGTGACAAGTTCACTGCTCTTATGTTCTCCTTCCCCTTGCACAAGATCAAAGGCGCGGGCCGAGAGAGAGAGAGAGAGAGAGAGAGAGAGAGAGTGGAGAGACAGCAAGAGAGAAAGAGAGAGTGAGATAGTGAGCGTGGTAAAGAGAGAGACGCAACAGAGAGAGAGGGAGAGACAGAGCAAGCGAGCGAAAAACCCTAAACCCGAAACCTATCAGCCCTAAACCCTAAACCCTAAATCCTGAACCCTAAGACTGTGGCATTTCGGTGCAGCAGGACAGCCCTGGACCAAGAACTTCACGTACTTCGTGGTGAACTCGTTACGATCTGCCGGCGAGGCCGGGCTGTCTTTACAATTCCAAGTCGGCTTCTCCGGATCCCTTAAGACTAGGCCCTATTCTAAACCCCTACACATGAGCAAAAAAGCGCAGGAAACCCTCCACCCTGCATATCATCGAGCTGCATGGTCTTTAAGCTGTGCCTTTTATGCTCGGCGTCCGAGCCGCGGGCCCAATGGCACAGAGGAGGAGCTGACCTGTCAGGAGCGGCGGCTTGCGGTCCAACGTCCAAATTTGAGTCGGTCTTTCGCCACTACAGAATATAAAGGAGATTGGGCGTATCATGACCAGTGCTTTCGATTCGACAAGAGATCCTGGCGAGCGATCGCCATTTGCCCAAAGTGCAACGCGGTGCGGAAGAATAGGCTCCAACCGGCCGATATCTAATAAATTATTAGACAAACCCTATAGCTAAATAATTATATGAGGTTTTAATTATCGCATCATTCGGGTCCCCTACTAGCTATAGGGCCAGGGGCTGTCATCGTATCGGTGCAGGGATGATGGGATCCTCTACACCAACATTGGGGCGGAATGGGAACACTTGAGCAACACGGAAGCCCTCCTGAAGGTCATGCCTGAACAGATGAATCCCTTGTGTTTGATACCAGGATTCAGTATTACATGTGTGCAACTTGCTTGAAGTGTATCGTTTTTAGTACACCCCTGCAGCAGACAATCCCATCCCATAAAATTAACCCTTAAAGCCTAAACGCCATCCGAGGAGAACGTGTTCAATGCATTCAAGCAATTTGGGAATCATGCAGAATTTATCTGCAGAGGGCCTTTTGTGGCTAGCAGAGCATCGAGTTTACTCATCGAGTGAGTCAATGCAAGATCAGCTCCACTCATGCTACAACGAGTTCCGGCGCTGGTGCTCCCGAACAAGCATCAGTACTTCTCAACGCAAATTTACTCCTGCATCTCTTCACCTGAATGTGAAGCCTCCGGACTACCCTTTTTTGGGGGCGAAGGCCTACAACTGCAGGGTTGTGACAGCATGGTTGGCAGTTTCTCAGCTATACATAAATATATAATTTTTTAAATTATAACCCTATACCCCTAAACCCCTAACCCTATAATATAACTAGATCGACAAGGCTGTGGGGCGAAAGTTTCTATCTGTGTCACCCAGGAAGCATTGACGTGTGCAAGCACACAGAACATTCTGAGAACAAGACTGCCTCACGAGGATGAGGATGCATACGAGAGCCGGCAGCATCTTTCCCACCTTGTGGTGAGCACGGTGCGTCTCTACTTGTCATTATAATGTATTTCTCAACACCATGACAGCTATATAGTCTAAAATCTAAAGCATCCCGAACCCGGAACCCAAGACAAGGTATGAGCTTGCTTCGTGGCAGCTGAAGACAGAGAGGCTGCCGAGATTTCTGACAGAAGATGAAGCAAATGATGTTTACAATCACGGTGCCCCGGGTTTTCAATCCAAGCTTTTACTGCTATATGATCAATAAATTCCGGATCCCATCATACGTGCTTGTATATAACTCTCCACTACCAGGCATCTTCTTCCTCAAGCTGTACAGACAGTGCGCCTACGAGTTCCTCCTGCTCTCGAAGCTCCGGTTTTTCCTCCGCCCTAAAATCCACGCCGCCGAGCTCAAGCACAGTCCGATGCAATCATGCATACTCTAACCCTAAAAATATATAAGTCTAAACCCTAAAACCCTAAAACCC